GACAAAAAAGTTACTTGATTCAATGACATTGAAAAACATCCCAATCGGATGGACTATACAGCTCTGCAATTGCCGTTGTACTCTCTCGCCTGACATATCAAAGCTTTGATCCCTTGAAACAAAACATACCACAGAAAAAACAAGAGAGAGATGAAGCTTCGCATTATACCTCATTTCAGTTCATTCAAGCGCCAGCGAGGGCCCGACGCTTTGGGGTTCTCATCCAACTTTTCCAAGCGGCCGCAGAATCCTTACTGGTGGCTCTGGCTTTGACTGCGTTTCCTTGCCTCCTCCAGCTCTTGCTCCTCGGCTGCGGCTGCCTCCTCCTTTGCCCTCTTGTCTCGAACTGCGCCCAGAACCACCTCGCGGAACACGGCGCCATCCTTGACCTTCTCTCTGAGAACATTCAGCTTCTTCTCACCACCAGTAGAAGGAATACCCTCCTCAGCATCACCCATCTCATCTGAGTCAGACTCATCTGCCTTGAGAGCCGCGATTCTCTTCTTCAGGCTGACTGCCAAAATGGCGTGCTTGAGCTTCGCACGTGCTTCACGAGCACGGCGGATCTCGGGCAGCAAGTCGTGGTCGGTAGCGGTCTTGCCGCTGAGCCAAATGTGACCCAAGGCTTCCTATTCGAGGAATGACAAGTTAGTGAATGGACAATTCAGAGTTGGTCAGGGGGCAATCTGAAGATTGGTGTGCATACCTCACTAGTCCAGCGTTTCTCTGGATCGGGGAGGATAAGGTGCATGATGAAGTCTTTGGCATCATTGCTGACATCCTTCCAGTATCTCTCGTGGAATACAACGGAGCCAGTAGTGCACTCCTCCAGCAAGTCTCGGAGGTTCTCACTTCGGAAAGGTGAGTAACCGCAGAGAAGGGTATAAGTGATGACACCCATGGACCACATGTCCGCAGGTTTTCCGTGGCCCTTGCGGTCCATGATTTCGGGGGCAGCATATCCAAATGATCCAGCCATTGTTTGGAGTGATTCCTCCTTCTTGTCCAACGTCTTGGCGATACCAAAATCGGCCAGGACGACTTCGGAATCGGGGTCTCGAGTCACATAGAGCAGGTTCTCGGGCTTGAGATCTAAGTTCAAGGTTACAAGTATTAGCCTCATAAATCTCCACTGTATGCGACATGCGAATGTAGCGCCACGGTCAAAGTTGCATACCTCTGTGGACAACCTCGTTCTTGTGGAGGTAGTCGACGGCGTGAAGGACCTGCTTAATAGTTTGAGAAGCATCCTTTTCGGTAAATTTTCCTTGTTCGCAAATTCTCTCGAAGAGCTCTCCGCCGGTGGCAAGCTCGGTAACAATATAGAACTTATCCTACACAGGGAGCTTCAGTCAGCCTCAGAGCAAGGAAGGGGTAGTGGTGACCAAGTTGAGGGACGAAGTTAGATGAACGAACCCTGGACTCGAACCAATCGACAAACTTGACAATATGCGGGTGCTTCAATCTCTGGAGCATCTGAAGCTCGTCATAGACCATCCTCTCGTTGCCCTTTACATTCTTCTTCAAGATGATCTTGACGGCGACCTTGCCAGTCGGGCCCTCAGCCTCGCGCACCACGCCGTAAGTGCCAGCACCAAGGGTTCGGCCGAATTTGTATTTGGCCCTGTTGATAAAGGTTTGCATCAGCTTCATGTTTCCTATCCATGTCGGGGCTTTCGATGTAGGTTCTATGCGTACTTCTTGTCGTAGCTTTCAGGTTGCCCCTGCAGGCGGCTCATAATGCCTGAGACTGGTGGTAGGCAATAAATGTTAGCCTGGATCCATTGAAACACTAAAAACACTCGAGCTCTTCGATATCGACATCATTTCTCGCCTCCTCGCCATGGAGCAAATCCCCAGTCTTCGCTAGATATTCGTTCTGCTGTTGACTTACAACTCATAGCTGTGATAGTGTGGTTTTCCGCGGGGTAAAGAAGGGTTTCACAAGTGACGCGGCGTCTGGCGGGGTAAAAGGGAAGCGGTTTTTGCGCTTCCTTCGGACTCGAGGGCGTCGTGTGCAGCAGCGGCCACAAGGACGGGAGGGTGCAGAGAAGGGAGGACGCTTGCAGCGAACGTGACGAAGCGAAAGATAGGCGGAGTTGGGCGAAGTTATATGAATTGGTAGTAGAGACTAAAAAGGATCAAGGGGAGTGGCGGGGGAGGACAGGCCATGCAGGCTGACTGCCACAAGCCGTGGGCTACCTCCCGTGAAGGTACTGGCCAGGTACCTCAGCTGGCTGCGGCGGTACCCATAGCCCTCTGACGCGCCATCCACTCGCTGAATGCTCACAAACAAGCTGGTGGGTTGGGTGTCGGCTTCCCCTGTACGGGTAGCGGTACTAGAGACGGCCCTGTTTCTCAGAAGAGTAACCGGGCAGCGACAAACCTTGCTAGTCTCTGGCAATGTCTGCAGGGCTGGGAGGGGCTGATTGAAGGAAGGAATGTTGCACCGTCTTGCTCTTGAGCCACACTGCTGCTCGTCAACCTGCCGAAAGCTCACATATGTTGCGGCATGGGGTCCCCGATCGCCATGGCCGCTGTGGCGCTGCCATTGGCACTTATTTTGCTGATGGCTGAGCCGTGCCATCCCAATTTATTACGTAGTGCGCATCTATGGATTCCGTCGAATGAGCTTCGTCCACCAGCGCCTCTTCGTTATCAGACAACCCAGCCTTGAACTACCTCCAGGGGCTGAAGTTGGTGCCGGAATCTGGCAACCATCTACGCGTAAGCACCGCCGGGCTGGTTGAAACATACGGGCGTACGAGGTAGGAGATCGGGATTGCGCATCTTAGTCGAATACATGCAGAGCGGCCACTCTTGATTGCTGATTGTGCACGTCTATTAATAAACTGCCAACCTTACTCAGTCATCGGCTGCGTTAGTTTGCCCATTAAGTTCAACCAAAGCAGACAAGCGTTGTGAAAGACTGGTAACACAGCTCTCCTGGCTCCGTGTCATCGGTACGTAATTGTACCTAGAAATGGAGCCAGCAGTTTCCCGCGATGGGAGCGCTGGTTGTTACTGACAGCGCCTCTAGAACCATCGCGCGGTCAATACTACCTATTTAGCTATCTAGGACAGTATCCTTTTTCTATGCCCTCTAGACCTACTCTTTTCCTTGACGAATGCCTTGTTTTGGGGGGCTCATCTTGCTTGGCATTGCTTGCCCCTCAGAGGCCTGGCCAGGCGTCGACGGAGGCGGCAGCTCGTCGCGGGACTCGAGAACAGCCGCCTAGCCACTTGCACCAACAGGCCCTTGAGGCTACATACGCTCCAACCCTTTCCACCTCTTCACTCTCACCACCACATCCTGTGCGCATCCATCATCGGCGCACCTGTGGCCTACCATGGCAACGAATATGAGCGCCAAGCGGCTCATGAAGGAGCTTGGGAAGGTAAGCAAATCCCTTTCTCCCTCCAGGGGGCGCATCAGAAATCTCACCAGAGGGCTGTCTGCCCCACGTAGATCAACAACGATGGCCTTCCCCCAGGCATAGAACTTGTCCAGTCGGGTTCAGCAGGCTCAGAGCTGAGCGACTGGCTTTTCGACATTCGGGTCCTCGATGAAAACCCCATTTACAAGGACGGGGTGTACCGGTTGAAGTTTCGCTTCTCCAAATCGTATCCCATAGGTGCGCAGCCCCGCCAACGATCCAGTTTCCCCCCTCCTTCCACGTTTTCAATCTCACACGCCACAGAACCACCAGAGGTGACATTCGAAAAACAAGCCGACCGACCGATCCCTATCCACCCGCACATATATTCCAACGGCATCATTTGCCTGGATCTGCTGGGCAGTCAGGGATGGAGCCCAGTCCAGAGCGCCCAAAGCGTCTGCATGAGCATTCAGAGCATGCTCACCAGCAACACCAAGAACGAGCGCCCACCAGGTGATGAGGAATTCGTTCGAGGGAACACCTTACGACCACGCGATATCGAATTCTTGTATCACGACAATACAGTATAGGCCTTCGCGATAGTCGAAACCTATGCAACAACACAGCTTTTGGCGCTACTCCATCCATCACGATGCGCTTTCACTTGTATCACTTGTATATTGCAGCGATGGTCTGCTCGAAACACATAAACCAGACGGCTGAACTTGGATCCTTTCGCAACCAGTAGCTGGTTCTAGGTCCCCTTCCAACATGATTCTAGTGGAGAGCTCTTCTCACATGGGCATCGAGTAGATCGAAGAGAGTGCTTGGCGGGTTGTTTTCCTCCGCATTCAAGGGTCTACAAGGGGGAAGATCGTCAAATCTTTTGGAAAAACTTCGGTTTCCACTATACCTTGGGCGCTGGTGGTTGCGATTGGAAAATGACCTTCGCCGGCGTCGAACGGCTAGAGGCGGCTAGAGAGCGAGATGGGTTGCTCACAATCATCAATGAGATTTTCAAGAAGACAGAGGCGTTATGGAAGTGAATGCAAATACTCAAGGTTTCTGAATGATGAAATTATCCCACTTGGTTTATATCCGTACGTGAAAGTCGTCCGCCTTGGGTGACCAATTTGGTCTCTAGTACAGTAGATGCGCCTTCACGAGCCAGAAGCAAGCAACACCTCGCCTTCTGCGCTTGATGACGTCGAGCCTCTAGCTCACTGTGGGGTGCTGCCTTCAGTCGGCTTAGAGCTACCTGTAGCTGTCAGAGTAAGCCATGCCCGGTATATCGCCTCCGTGGGCTAACCATCTCAATGCCACGCCAAAGATCTCCGAATAGCATCTTAACACGCGACCCTGAAATAAGGACCTCAATAATTTCGCCATGAAGTAACTGTGGAGGTTACCAAAAGCTTCGCTGGCGATCATGGCCTCTCTCTGCCTGGCAAGCCCCGTAAGCTCCCCGGGTCCCGCTCCCGTGGGTCCCCCATTTCACCGCCTGAGATGAATGGGCGCCAACCTTCCAGCCCCCCAACGCAGCTCCAATTCCACATGCCGATACAGCGCAACCTCCAACCCTCCGATCTCTCCAAACCACACCTCTTGCGATGAGCCGCTATGGCTCCTCGCACGGAATTCAGCACTGAAAAAGTGCGCAACAAGGCCCGGAAGGACCTCCTATACATGCTCGAGGGTGTACGTAAGACCGCATTGACTCTGAACGCGAGAGGGCTATGGGAGCAAGCGTAGCAAGCTGACGTTGGTTCCTTGCTTGAGTAGGTTCGAGGGAAGAAAAATGTTGTCTTTGATCGCAGTTTGGTCGGCCCGATCGGCACTATTGTAAAGGCCACCACCCTTCAGGAATACGGGGTCGACAAGTTCTTTGTACTTGAAAACAACAATGTCGATACGAGCCAGCGCAACGTCGTTTTCATCGTGAGAGGCGAGTCCGGCAGGCATGCCGAGGCAGTCGCAGGTCAGTCCAGCCCTCTTTCGATGCTGAATTGAGATTCCCCGACCATCCCATGCCGTCGTCTATCGCTTCTCGTCGAATCGCAGAGCTCTCTCGTCGTTGCGACGCTATCAATGAGACTCAACTCAGACCAACGGGGTCGCTTGAGGTATATCGAGGTGTCTAGATGCTAACATCTGCCGTTTGTTAGCCCAAATCAAACGAGTTCAACGTGAGAGCCAGACCGGTCATGAATTTCACATCTTCTGGGTGCCCCGCCGGACACTACTATCCGATCAAATACTCGAGGAATCAGGTGTTTTGGGTGACGTGAACGTTGCCGAATTGCCATTATCATTCTTTCCTTTGGAGAATGATGTGCTGTCTCTCGAGCTGAACGACTCTTTCCGGGACCTGTATCTCTCAAAGGACATCACTCCCAATTTCTTAATGGCCAAGGCTCTCATGGAAATCCAGCAGAATCACGGGCTATTTCCCCGGATCATTGGAAAGGGAGATAACGCCAAGAAGGTTGCCGATCTTCTGGGACGGATGCGACAAGAACTGCTGGCAGGCGGGGACTCCAGCGAAGCGAACCGTGCGGGCCTAACACCAAGCACGACAAATGACAGTGTTATCATAATCGATCGCGAGGTTGACTTCGTCACGCCTCTTCTTACCCAGCTTACGTACGAAGGCCTCATCGATGAGGTGTTTGAGATACAGAATAATCAGACGAAGGTCGATACTGCAATCGTCGGTGCCCCCGCTCAGTCTCAGTCCTCGGCAGCGACACCGCAGAGTCGAAAACGAACAATCCAGCTCGACTCGAGTGACAAACTCTACGATCAGCTTCGCGATGCAAACTTTGCTATTGTAGGAAGCCTCCTCAACAAAGTCGCCCGCCGGTTACAGCAAGTCCAATCCGATTACGAGACCAAGCACAAGACCAAGACGATTGCGGAGCTCAAAGAGTTCGTGGGCCAGCTTCCCGGTTACCAGCAAGAGCACCAAAGCGCTAGGATACACACAGGACTAGCGGAGGAGATAATCAAGCACACCCGGTCGGATCAATTCAAGGGATTACTGGAGGTGCAGCAGAATATCGCCGCTGGCGCCGACCCCTCGACCCAGGCCGACAGAATCGAAGAGCTCGTGGCCCGGGATACTCCGATACGAGAGGTTTTGAGATTACTGTGCATTTACTCATGCATATCAGGTGGGATCAAGCCAAAAGAATTTGACCACTTCAAACGCCTGATACTACAAGGTTACGGCCACCAACATATCCTCACTTTGAACAGCTTAGAAAAACTACAACTCTTCCTTTCGCGCTCATCGCCCCTAGCAGGGATGATACCAATGACGGGCAACGCCGGGCCGAGCGGCGGGGCGAAAACGAATTATACATACCTGCGAAAGCAGTTGCGTCTAATCGTGGACGAGGTTCAAGAGGACGACCCGAACGATATCGCTTATGTGTACAGCGGTTATGCGCCACTTTCTATCCGTCTCGTCCAATGCATCCTGCAAAAGCAGTACCTATTGAGCGTAACCAAGGGAGGTGGCGCAAACATCGCCAATGCGGCTCTCTCGTCGGGTGCCGCTACCCAAGGCTGGCATGGCTTTGACGATGCTGTCAAGCACGTGCGGGGCCAAACATTCTATGAGCTTCAAAAGGGAGAGGACAAGGCTGTAAAAGCAAGAGCCCTCCTTTCCGGAAGCGGGAATAGGCAAACGGTCTTTGTAGTGTTCGTTGGCGGTATCACGTTTACGGAGATTGCGGCACTTCGATTCATAGCCAAGCAAGAAGAGAGTGAGTTTTCGTCCAATTCACGAGCCCGCAGGTGGCCACATGATGCTAACATTCATATCCCCAGGCCGAAAACGGATCGTAATATGCACTACATCAATCATCAGTGGGAATAGAATCATGGATGCAGCAATCGAGACGGATTCTTTTGCGCTGGGAGGAGAGGCCTCGAGCTCGACTTGAAAGTTTCCTCTGGCGCATCAAACATACGTGCTGGCCTTGCACACGGTCCCAAATGAGAAGGGAACCTGATCAGAGAGGCTTCTGGTGGCTCCTCCGGCTACCCTTTGGTGAGCTGGGGTTGTCACAGGCGGTATGAGGGACCAGCGAGACCTCAGGAAGTAATAGAAGAAGAATGAATGATAGCAAGCGTTTCGTTTCCGATCGTAAACACGCAGATTCAGTATTTGAACACAAGGTTGAATGAAGCCTTGCCCCAAATGGGTGTCCGGAAAACGAGGACCGCAAAGGTCACGATGTTCAGATAGAACAGCTTGAAGAGTTGGCAAATAATTAAGATTGAATATTCTCTTCGTCAAATGACAACGAGATGTTTGCCTCAATCCCTTCGATTCGAGGTTCAATGGAGAGAGGCCAAGTCCGCTCCACACTCGCACAGCGATTCGGTGGGCCCGAGATGCGTCGTCGCACGTGACCGGCCACACTGGCGGTCGCCCCAGCGTCGAGGTCGAGGAATTAGCGGCCAGCTGGGCTCCTGGAGAGGGAAGGAATGTCGCTGTTCGCACGATGGCGTTAACTTGCCATATCCCCATGGTACAAGGGAAAAAAGCTAACGTGTAATTGCCTTTCACTGCGAGCACGTCAGGCCCTTTTTCTTTCCCTGCCCGCCATTAATCTGTTTGGAAAAAATCATTCATGTATGAGCCGTAACTTCTTCATATCTATTTTCTTTTCTTTTTCCTCCTCATCGTACCATTCTTATCCTTAATCCCGCTCGCCAGAAAAGTCGAGGCCCACTTTAGTACCCTCATCGTCGACGTCCTGGTCAGTATAACCATCCCCATGGACCTGGCTTGACCTCAGGAATGCTGACTGGCTATAGCAGCCCGGATGGTGTCTTCTTGGCTTGTTATATTATGCATTCGCGTTATTTGAATGGCCGTATCTCATAGCGCTTTCCGAGACATCGACTATATCGTCCCTCGCCGAGCGCCGTCTCCTCCATCCTGCCTTATACCACAGCGAATTGATCATCAATACGTCTCCCAATTGGGCGTGCCATGAGTCCGGCTCTTCGGTTTCGCAGGTCGGCCAAGAGGGACGCGGCGGCGGGCCCTACGCGTCCGAAAAGGGGCGCCTCTCGCTCAGTATCAAGGCGTCAGCCAGTGACACCAAAGCCCAGTCGTCAGATATCTGCTAGCCGCAGTCCCAATGAACTCATAGCGCCCGACCTCTCGCGGCAGAGTTCGTCGTCGAACCTGTCGTCCGAGGTCGCTCCGGAAATAGTCGTGTGGACTGAGGACATGGACCTTGACAGCCCGAGTCAGGATGACTCCGATGTCCTGTCGGATCTGGATATGAGCAGGTAAGATGAAATATAATGCCATCTACAAACTAAGAGTTCGCCGTCAGGCCGCACAGCCCCATCGCTCCCTTGTATCCATGGTTAAGCTTGTTGTGTCCTGACCGCCAGACATAGTGACGAAGCACCCGACTTTTATGGACTGTCCAGACAGGCTGGTGAAGAATCTGATGAGGATGATGAGGCATTCGAGGAGGGCAGTGAAGCCCCCGAAGATGACGACGAAGCATCCGGGCTTGGCGATGCATTGCTCGGGGAAGTCGCTGTGGCATCGGAGAGCGTCAATGCTGCACTAAGGGAGACCCACGAAGCATCCGAGGATGAGGCAGCACTCGGTGATGTCGACGAACCATCCGAGGACGATGATGAACTACTCAAGGATGTTGATGAGGCGCCTGAGGAAGTTGATGATGAACTCAAAGACGCTGATGGGATGCTTGAAGATGCCAATGAAGTGTCCGAAGTCAATAGCGCCCTTGAAGACGCCGATGGAGCGCCCGAAAATGTTGATCAAGCACTTCAAGACGTTGAAGAAGCACTTGAGGTCGCCAATGAAGCCAAGGAAGTTCTGGCTGTCCCGGCAGGGGGTGAAGCAGTGCGATCCGTCTCCTCGCCATCAGCCTTGACCGAACTCTCCGAACTGTCCTCCTTATCTTCAAATGTATCAAGCAAGGCCACGACACCTTTCGACGCAGATGCTTCTAGAGGTACATCTGCAGATCAACCGGCACCCAGGACGGTTCTGGTACACCAAACTTCATTCTACCATAATGAAGTGGAACGCCTAACCTTCAATGTGCGCCCCAAGGCCTCGATTCCTAGGAATATATCGTCTCAGAGGTATGCTGCCGAGTGTATATGGGCTGCAGAATCCTCCAGGCTAAACCCTTTTGCGCTACATCCTGAGGAATACCTACTATTCCGACATCATATCTCACATGCCCAAGTCACAACGTATCTTAATATCCGAAACGGTATTCTACGTCAATGGATGACTCGGCCTTCTGTCAATGTAACACGTCAGGCAGCTATCGGCTGTGCCAATGCTCGTTGGTTTGATGCAGCAAGCGTGTGCTATGACTGGTTGGTACGACGCGGATACATCAACTTCGGCTGCGTTCAATTCGCCGACTCGAAAAAGGCTGCAAATGGGGACCAGCAAGATGTTCCAAGAAAAAGAAGGACAATTGTCGTCCTCGGTGCCGGTATTTCAGGCTTAGGATGTGCTCGGCAACTAGAAGGCCTTGGGACCCAATACGCTAGCCAATTCCATGATCAAGGGGAGGATCCTCCCAGGGTCATTGTTCTGGAGGGCCGGAGCCGTGTGGGGGGAAGAGTGTATTCTCGCGAACTGAAAACGCAATCTTCTGAGAAGAACCCTCAGTTTGAAGGCAAGAGACTCTCAGCCGAGATGGGCGGTATGATCATCACTGGCTTCGATCGTGGAAATCCCATGAATATTCTTGTACGGGCACAGCTTGGGATCCCGTACCACGCCTTGACAGCCGATACCACCATCTACGATAATAATGGCAAGCCAGTGGATATGGTCCGAGATCTACTAGTAGAAAAACTTTACAACGATTGCTTGGATCGTGTGAGTGAATTTAAGCATAAGTCACAACCATCCAAATTAATCGAAGGAAAGCGCGATCTCATTGAGGATGGCCGCGACGCTCCCGGAGATGGCAACAAAACCATCATGCAGGCAGAGGAAGCCACCGCAGCTTTGCCTCATGCCCCTCCAGTCTCACTACAGAGTGTTCCAGAACAGGTAAATATGGTCCCTGTGTCATCGGACAAAGTAACTGGCCGTGTACACACTCAGCCTGGGGTTCCTGCCACTCTCAAGGCGTCCGAAAAGGCCAAGCTCATGGGATGGGACGTAAAAGCAGGTTCTACTGACAGTGATAACGTTGATCTGAACGATGCAGTCAATCAGGAGGGGGCTACACTCGGCTCGGTTCTGGACTATGCATTATCGCAGTACAAGCATCTCATTGATTTGACGCCTCAAGATTTCCGGCTCTTCAATTGGCACGTTGCCAATCTAGAATACAGCAATGCCACCAACCTTCATCGACTCAGCCTACCACTTTGGGACATTGATGCTGGCAATGAATGGGAGGGGCATCATACCATGATTGTGGGTGGATATCAAAGTGTAGCCCGAGGCCTTGTCCACTGCCCAGAGCCGCTGGATGTCAGGACGAACTTTCCTGTCAAAAGTATCAAATACAGAGCCGAGGCTTCAAACAGCGGCCCTGCTATTATTGAATGTGAGGATGGCACCGTGGTAGAGGCCGACACTATTGTGTGCACGATTCCTTTGGGCGTGCTCAAGCAGAACAGCATCACTTTCGATCCTCCGCTTCCAACCTGGAAGACAGGCGTTGTGGGCCGTCTTGGCTTCGGCATCCTGAACAAGGTTGTTTTAATCTACGACAAGATCTTCTGGGAGCCTGATAGGCACATCTTTGGAGTCTTGAGGGATCCTCCAAACCGCCACAGCACAAACCAAAAGGACTATGGAGTGAACCGCGGCCGCTTTTTTCAATGGTTCAATGTTTCCAACACGACGGGCGTCCCTTGCCTGATTGCTCTGATGGCAGGCGATGCAGGCTTCGAAACTGAGCATTCCAACAATGATGTTCTGGTTGCAGAGGCCACTGAGATTCTACGAGGCGTATTCGGAAGCGATGTTCCGTATCCTGTTGAGGCTATGGTTACCAGATGGGGTTCCGACCGATTTGCAAGAGGAAGTTATTCATCCGCATCCCCTGAAATGCAGCCGGATGATTACGATGTAATGGCACGGCCAATTGGAAATCTCTTTTTCGCCGGGGAGCACACAATCGGCACGCATCCAGCGACGGTTCATGGCGCATACATGTCAGGGTTGCGAGCAGCCTCGGAGGTGTTGGAGGCGATGTTGGGCCCGATCGAGGTCCCGACACCGCTCGTCCTGCCGAAGGATTCGCTGTTACTTCAGAAACGCCAAGAATCGGCAAAGGACCCTCGCAAAGCTCTCCTGGAAGCCTATGAGTTGGAAGTTTGGCACCATTTGCAATTGCATATTGGACATCGCCCAGTCCGGCCCAGCAAACCGCCTGGTAACGCTTACATGCTGTTCAGCAGGGAGAGGTTTGAGGAGGCACGGAAGCTGTGTGAAGAGAATCGAAAGCCCGGCAGAACTAAATCAGCCCCGAATGAGGTCCGAGTGATGACTTCCAAGATGTGGAAGAATGCCTCACCAGACGAGCGCAAACCCTACGAGGAACAGGCCACAGAAAACAAGAAGGCCTACGCAGAAGCTTTACTGCGGCACACGGAGGAGTCCGAGAAGTGGGACCGCCAGGCAATTGCGTTGCGGGCGGCATACGAGAAAGAGAACCCAAAACCGGTAGAGGAAGAGAAACTCACCCCAGACGAAGGGCCGGGCCCCAAGCATCGTCGAGTCAGACCCGTGAGCTATGCCGAGGACCGCGATGAGGACCGCAATTGAGTTGTTTTGCCGTTGAGCTCACCTTTTTATCATGGCTCATCTACCTGTTACATCTACCCGTCTATTTATACCCTCGTTTTTTTGTTCGTCATTGGTTCTGGGCGTTTACTTTGAAACAAATATCTATCATGTCTGCTCTTGGGGGGGAACGGGCGTTCTCCATCGACTCCTGGGAATAATTTGCGATGGTGCCTTTTCCTTCTTAGAAAATTGTCGGTAGTCATTGCGGTATTGGGAATCAGTCAAATGGGTAGGAAGTACAAAAAGTTCAATAGAGGTAGTCAAATTATGGGAAAAGGTTGCGCATGAGCGGGGTGAGGGGCATTATTACGGGTTGTAACATATGAGGATTTAAACAAACAAAAAAATTTATCCCCCTGTTCATTCACATCGGTACTTTTACTAGAGAATATATTTGAGATCTGATACATTTGAGGTTGCCGCTGCCGGGCACCCGATGGCTTTGATACAAAGGAAAGGGTTTTCTGTCTATTCCTGCAGCTACCCTGCAACCGCTTTCGATGTTTACATGTCCGCTGAGGCGGTGGCACCGGTAATAATTTCAACCAGTTCTCCGGTAATGACGGCCTGGCGAGTTCGGTTGTAGAGAATCTGGTACTTGCCAATCATCTCACCAGCGTTCTTGGAGGCGTTCTACAAGAGTTCCCCACGTTAGACTTCGGTAACAATTGAAGCTGCCAAAATGATATTTTTTTCAAACTTACGTCCATAGCGTTGCGTCGGGCGGACTGCTCGCAGGCGTGGCCCTCGGCAAGAGCCCAGTACAGGGAGTTGGCGAGGGAGTACTCGCGGAGGTTGCCAATGACCTCATCCTCGACCTCGAAGGCGGAGAAGTTGGCTGTACGGAGAAAAAGAAGGCGTCAGTAATACGCTCATAGTGTCCTGATATCCATCGAATACTTACGGGAAGCAAGAATAGCCTCCTCGGAAAATGCCTCAATGAAGGTGGCCTCGTAGCTGGTGGCGTTGATGAACTTGTTGTACAGAATCTTGACGTCGGTGTACTCGGTAGGGAGGAGGGAGATCTGGTCGGCAATGGCCTGGGCGTCGGCGAAGGTAGGGACGTCCTTGCCAATACCGGCGAAGGAGAGCTGGATGCTGTTGGCGTTTGAACGGGACAGCTGGGCCTTGGCCTTCTCGCCGACGATGACCAGGTCGTGGTCGCCCTCCTCGGCGATGAGTCTGCGGGTGCGACGGCTCAGACCGGAGTGAATACCACCGCAGAGACCCTTGTCGGAGGAGCAGACGATGAGGAGGGACTTCTTCTGCTCGGTCTCGGGAACCTTGGTCTCAGCAGCCTCGAAGACCTCGTTGGAGGTCTGGCCGTAGTTGCGGGAGGTGTCCATGGCTCGCTGGGCACGGGTGAGCTTGGTAGAGGCGACGACCTTCATGGTGTTGGTGATCTTCTCGATGTTGCGGATGGACTTGAGGCGGCCCTCGATCTCTCGGAGTGTCGCATAGCCAGCAGCGGTGCTGGGGGCGGCGGCAACCCTGGACAGAGACAATAAGAAACGAATCAGCATTCACAAATTCTCCTCTATCTCGTCCTCCTCCAACCAACAGAGCTCGGCCAGGTGGTTTCCAATGGCAATTCCCCGTCGTGGTTGCGCCAATGAGTCCATCCACCTCGACTGCTGATATGCCCTCGGTTACAATTTCGGTCGACTTACCGTGCGGGAGCTGCCACAGCAGCACGGAGTGCCGGGCGGGCGGCGCGAGACAGCATCTTGACGGATGAGAAGAGTCGGATCGAGCCTCTGCCAACGGTGGCTCAATTGATTCCGGCGATGGGATTCAATTGATTGGGGTGATAGGAGTTCGGGTGGAGGGTGGAATACCTCTCGTTTTGCTCATGTCGCTATTTTCCCGGAACACGGGCGGAGCTAGCAGGGTCACGTGAACATGGAGATTCCGCCCGTCCTGGTCCCGGGTACGTCGCGCAGTACCTACCACCTGGCACCAGTGTTACCAGGCCACCAGTCAGCGCTCCACCTGGGCTGGTACGTACCTCCCGCGCTGCTCCTGAGGTACTCGGCGGTGTTGCGGCCAAGTACCAACCCAGTCGCACTAATAACATTTTATTATGGGCAAGAGCTGCGGAAGTTCGCGCCGGGTAGAAACAAGCCTCACTGACTTTCCTTGGTACATTCCTCGCTTCTTCTTCCTTCTCTCACTCTTCCTTCCCTCTTTTTTATCCCTCTCTCCGACATTTCCAAGGCTCCGATTGCCTCCGCATCTCCAAAGTTGGCTCGCTTGGGGTGGTTTTCCCACCTCAAACCACCCTTTCGTACTCCCATCCCGGTTTCATTCTCTCTTACAAGACTGCCTTTTTTTGTCCATCGCTTCTTCCTCAGCAATCGAGCAGCAGGATCGGCCAGCCACGCCAGGCGTCTACCACTCCCAACCCGACTATCCAAGATGGCCTACGACAGTTCTGATGACGACCAGCCTCTGGCTCGGACTAATGGACACCGTGAGTAAATTCAATTTCACCCTTCTCTGTCCCTACCGTCGCCATCACTCACTATGTGCCTCGGCGCAAACTTTGAATCTTTGGTGCCAAACACAATGAGCAGCCTATTGTTGCGCGCGCCTGCCATTCACACAACACTCAACACAATACCGCACACCCACCACACTCTCGCATCCTTCTCACTTCCCTTCTTCCTCTTTCTCTCTCATCCAGGAATTTTCGCCTCCTTCAACCCTTCATCAAGACACCAAGTCATCGCTGACCAGAGGATTCCTTACCACCATGGCAGTATCCGCATCCACCGTGTCAGCAGCCCAGGACAAGGCCCTAGATCGCGTGGTCCCCCAAAAGAGCGCTGTCCTTGCTGGACTCTCCGTCCGCAATGGCCCAGTTAGGGACGACGACTCGATGGACGTCGATGCGCCTACGACCAACGGGAAGCGAAAATCACGGACGTCCATCTCGAAGCCCGCATACAAGGACGACTCCGATAGCGATGCGCCATTTGTAAGGCGCCTCGAGGCTCAACGCAAGGCAGAATGAGACGTGGCTAATGCTTCTATCTAGGCAAAACGTCAAAAGCAAAAGCCCGAGTCGGATTCGGACGACGAGCCCATCAAGTCCAAGGCAAGGAAGCTGCCTCCATCCTACGATGAGACTGCTCTACCCGACTCCTCTGATGATGACACCCCTCTTGGTGCTAAACTCGCGAAGAAGAAGGCCACGATAGGGAAGCAGGCCGAGAAAGAGGCCAAGGTTATTCGGGCAAAGGAGGCCAAGCGAAAATCCATCAAGGATGAATCCGATGATGATGCTCCGATCGCCAAGTCATCCGCCATCAGGCGTCAGTCAAATGGAACCGCGGCGAAAAGAAAGTCTAACGGCGTCAAGAAGGAGGAGTCCGATTCCGACGCGCCGATCGCGAAGAGAGGTAAGGCCGCACCTGCTGCGAAGAAGGCGAAGGGCGCAGCAGCCACCAAGAAGGAGAAGAAAGAGGCCAGTGACGGGGAAGAGGAAGAGTACGAGTGGTGGAATGCGCCGAAGCCCGAGGACGACAGTATCAAGTGGCAAACGCTTGAGCACAACGGCGTTCTCTTTGCTCCTGAGTATGAGCCCTTACCCAAAAACATCAAGATGCTCTACGATGGAAGTCCTGTCACTCTCAGCGTGGAAGCGGAAGAAGTTGCCACATTTTGGGTGGCAATGATGACTCCTGGCTCTGCCCACCACTTGGAGAACCCCAAATTCCGAGAAAACTTCGTCAACGACTTTACGGAATATGTCAAGAAGTATGGTGCCACAGACGCCCAGGGCAAGAAGGTGTTGATCAAGGACTTTGACAAGTGCGACTTCACCAAGATGGCCGAGTATTGGACAGCCAAAACTGAGGCCACCAAGACCAAGAACCTCTCAAAGGAGGAAAAGGAGGCTGCCAAGGCGAAGAAGGAGGCCCTTGAAGCGCCATATCTCCACTGTATGTGGGACGGCCGCAAACAGAAAGTTGGTAACTTCAGAGTCGAACCTCCTGGTCTGTTCAGGGGGCGTGGTGAGCATCCCAAAACTGGTCGGGTAAAGGTTCGAGTGTTGCCTGAGCAGATCACCATCAACATTGGCAAGGACGCCAAAATACCCGAGCCACCTAAGGGTCACAAGTGGAAGGCTGTTCAGCATGATCAGAAAGCCACCTGGCTTGCTATGTGGCAGGAAAACATCAACGGAGCTTACAAATACGTTATGTTGGGTGCGGCTAGTGATGTCAAGGGCCAGAGCGATTACAAGAAGTTTGAAAAAGCTCGCGAGCTCAAGAAGCACATTGACAGGATCCGCAAGGATTACCGCAAGGAGCTCAAGAGTGAGGTGATGGCGGATCGTCAGCGTGCAACTGCCATGTATTTTATTGACCAGTTCGCCCTGAGAGCCGGAAACGAGAAGGATACGGAAAACGAAGCAGATACTGTGGGGTGTTGCTCGCTCAAGTTTGAGCACATCACTCTTCAGCCCCCGAATCAGGTCACATTTGACTTCCTCGGTAAGGACAGTATCAGGTACAACGAGACAGTCCATGTCGATGCCCAGGTCTTTAAGAATCTGAAACTGTTCAAGAAGCCACCCAAGGCTGATGGAGATGACCTATTCGACCGACTGAATGTGAGTTTGGACGGAACCGACACCTTTATCAAAGACCATCTTGAGCTAATTATGATATACAGACCTCACAGTTGAACAAGCATTTGAACAGCTATATGCAAGGCCTGACTGCAAAGGTTTTCCGTACCTACAATGCCTCCTTCACCATGGCAAAACTTCTCAATGAGCTTGAAAGTGATCCTCGCTCGCGTGGAAGCGTCGCCGAGAAGGTGAAGCTGTACAACGATTGCAACAGAAAGGTTGCCATTCTCTGTAATCACAAGCGTACAGTCGGCGCAGGTCACGACGCACAGATGCAGAAACTCGGTGATAGGGTAAGTGAAGCGTAGCGCGTCAACAAGACACACAGCAGCTAATA